TTGCTAGGCTTCATGCACCACTTAGAAGTTCTATTAAAGGTGTTCGAATTTACTTTTCCTCCCATGTTCATTTTAATGTAGCCTTCCCATCGACCGCTTACCGTTCCTCTAGGGAAGTGTCCGAGAAGGAAACACCTCTTAGCCAAGACGACTTACTGCCACGTTTCAGTGGACAATGAAGTCACCCGAGTACGATGAGGAGGGTATATGCACTGATGGCAAATTCTTGTCGAATCTTCGTTTTTCTGCTGTTTTTTAAATGAAGTACTAGGGAAGCAGACATGATATTCAATGAGCTCAGTGAAGCTGGAAAAAGGATTGGGATACACTTCAACTAAAAAAGGAACTTAGTTTATGAGAAACTCACAGTAAAGGTTAATTAATAGAACATAATGATTCTAGAATTAGACAGACCACTTCGTACGTGTACCTAAGGCCGTAAGTGAACATGGAGGAGAACATGAAGAAGAAGTTACGTAGACTAAAGGCCAATATGGAGGCGCGTGTGGCGCAGTGGTCGGAGGCGCCCTACAATACAAATGGGATCGATTCCAGCGTTCCTGGCCCACTAAGCCCTCGATCCCTCCGGGGTCGGCAAATTAGTTTCAGACATGTCTCCGAGGATAGCAGCACTGGCTCGATACACCGATAGGCCACCACGAGTCATTGTAAAGGTCTGATATGCATTCAATCACCTCCGAACGATGCTTAATGAAGTCGAATGCACGGCGTATCCCTCAGGGATTGATCACAGCATAAAGCTTCATCCTTTTTCTTTTATTTTAAGGTCAGTATGGATGGTGTTCAAACCTATCAGAGAAGTCACTGATCACCTCATGTTTCAGAAACTTCACCTCTATGTGTGCAATTCAGCACTCCTCTTGACGTTCTCCTTATGCAGTGTAGAGACTTTGATTAATATTTTAATGACGTCGGAAATTCTGTGTGCCACGCATGGAGCGCTGGAATGGTGATTTCTGGAACTTAACTGGCGCACACAATGTAAAGCCAGATCTTCAAAACCCACCCATCGTGGGAATATAGGGTAAGAAATTATGTAGGAAATTTGAAAAGTTAATAGAAAAATTAATTTAGACGGTTCAAGGATCACAGAATATGTTCACAGACGTTAGTATGTACATGACAGACCATCATCGTGGACACCAATTCCAAGAGAAAGAAAAGAATATTAAGATGTGCTCTGTACCGCAACAGCAACATTCGTGATAACAGGCCATCTAACTATCCACATAGCAATGTTTGTTTCGATTGCCTAACTTGAACACGATCTTCCATAAAAGTCAAACCAGTGACATGAGAAATCTAAGCTTTAAAGTAATATGTCGAATACCCATAAAAGGAAAATTATAATGGTAGAAAGAGAACGTCTTAAATCCATACCGGAACATCGCACATTTCGTACCGTACAATCTAAAACGTCCATATCTAATCAATGTTTGAATGTATTGTTAGGGGGCAGACGACGCGATTGTCAAAACTGAGATTACTTACTTGGGTGCTGGGATGGCCCTTCTTCATTAATTGTGCAAACCCTAGCATAATCTTCACTAACAGGAAATTTGTTGATTTCTCGTCACTTATGCATGTGGTAAGACACACTCAGAGATACTCATGAACATCTCTCCGTTATTATATGATGATAATCAGATCATTCAGAGAACTTCAGAGTAACTTGATGTTCACAGAATATGCCTCATCAAGATGCTTCAACGAAATTTTTTTCATCGGAAACAATTATCAAGCATTATTAACACAAAATTTCCCTAACGTTCTAAAACGTGCTTAAAAACGTCTTTTTAATAATTTATAATATGCAGTTTATTAGCAGCACCACCTGTTCTGCGGCTGGTGCTCGAGTGACTTTAGTGGAAATCAGCAGTCTTCGGTTGCCTTTATCGCGTCCAAATGTAGCCCAGTGGGCTTTGCTCGCTCGTAGACTCGCTGAGCATCATACCTTTCCTCTAGAGCTTCCGTGAAGAACTTTGACGATAAAAAAACTAGTATCTTTTTTGTACGTTTAACATCATTTTCCGACATTTTGGCGAATACAACACATTTTCAATCTCTATAGAAAATTCCACCCATTCATAGCAGTTGCTGATCTTTTAATCAGTTACCTGATCTTTATTTTGGGTTCACAAGTGCCCTAAACCAGTTACGTATTTCAACGGGCATATCTGAACAGGCTCAACGTGAACACCATAATTTGAATAAAAGCTATCCCATAAGTAGTTGAAGAGAAAATATCGAAATGTTTCGTTGAAGTTATAGGAAAATAAAGACTGAAACAGCATAAGTCCAGAAATGTTCCTTTACCAATGTGGTGTTGCTCAGTAGAGAATTTCATGTACTCAGACCATCCACAACGAATTGCGCATAGAAAAACCGTACCATTACACTGTGTCGAGATATGACAGCCTCACTCCGCAAACCTATTTATTCTACTATCATACATTAACAAAAAAGTTTCAGAAACTGCTTTAATTTCAAACAAACTAGAATTGAACCACAGTCTCTGTTACCGGTTGCAATGGTAAGGAAACGATTTCTAGCACCTGACAGCTCGAATGACACTTACTTGAGTATCGTTGTTACTAGTTGTTCATCTCGTTCCTTCCTTCTCGGTTGAGTGTATAGAGCATTCAGAGAATCAGTTATCAACAAATAAGGTCTGAGAATTGCTAAAGATATCCAATATTTGAGCCTTCAAAGGCATATGCCCAGCAATTGCTATGTGACCAAACTAATATAGGAGATAGTTTTCTTCATCGAGATTACACAGCCGATGTTCAGAAGAGAATGAAACATACTGTCAAAGGAGCATCCATTAAGATGCCGTTCCTTCTTGTGATTATAGTCGACTGCATAAATAATATCTTCTTCATCATGCCGGGTGATTCTCCACATTGCTCCATCGATCATATGCCCAGCAGGCAGTGCTGTTATTTTGATCTGACTATCACCTCGAAGAGGGACCTACAACCACCAAAAATTCACTTCCACAAAGAAACCTGTAGACTATAGCACACTTTCATCTAATTGGGATACCGAGCTTGATCATCAATGCCATAGTAGAGCAGTTCGTGTGGCATGTGGCAGTTGGAGGCGCCCTGCAACACATACTTGGAATTGATCCCCACGCCCATGGCCCACCAAGCCTTCCATCTCTTCGGGGTCGGCAAATTGGTACCAGACTTGCCTGGGAGGATAGCAGCACTGGCTCGATACATCGGTAGGCCACCGCGAGTCATTGTAAAGACCAGATATGAATTCAGTCACCACCAACGTTGCTTAATGAAATCGAATGTATGGCGTACCCTCAGAGATTGATAAACGCCGAGAGCTTTATTTTGTTATTAACGCCAGAAATAGATAAAATCACTCTTTCCAGCAAGAGAAAGATCGGGTTTTTCTCGAACACCTGAATTTCAAACAGATTTAAAATGAAGGTAAGATTTTATCAAGATAAGTAAATCCCTTAGCAGGCGGCATTCGCGCCTTTTCTAGAGGCATGTCAACTTTTACATGACCCTCCACCACATGTGTCTCACAGTACAGATCCTAGCACTGCTTGCACTCTATATGTTTCCTAGCGACCATCATCCACAAAGGTCTCTGGAAATTGTGGGTTCAGCAACTGCTTAAGGGCCGTCTTCTCACTTATTAATGTCGTTGGATGCTGATTGAGGCGCTTCTCCATGGAGTCCTGGGATAGCGGTGCTACAGTGTGTTCTTACATGTGGATTTCTAGACTTTTTAAGACCTGGAGTTCCCAGAAATTATCGTAAGCTATCGAAAAACCTCCATCACCTATTACATAAGGCATTCAAACTTCAATCCTTGATCAATAATTCACTGTTTTTCCTTTTCTAACTGTTATAAAGTCTTAATTACTCTATGGAATGGTCGCGTATTGGGAATACCATCCAATATAAGTTGCGAAACTTCTCAAGATGCTTACAGCAGTGTAGTTACATAGTGTACTATACTAAAATAGAGTATATTTTACTTTAAATCTATTAAGCAAGGCATATTCTACACTATGCCATGCTCTCAACCGTTAAGTACTCTAAAAAGGGATAAAAGGATAAAGCTTTCGGCGTTGATCAATCCCTGAGGGATGCGCCATGTATTCGACTTAATCGGGCATCGTTGGTGTCGGAATGCACATCTGGCCTTTATAATGACTCGCGGTTGCCTACTGATGTATCTACTCAGTGCTGCTATCCTCCCAGATAAGTCTGGTACCAATATGCCGACCACAGAGGGATAGAAGACTTGGTGAGTCTGGAGCGCTGGGATTGACCCCATGCGTATTGCAGAGCGCCTCCAACTATTGCGCTACACGTGCGCCCAAATCGGTTAGCTATCCAAAATGTGGTCTTTGTTAGAAACCAGCACTATACGTCATTTACTGCTTTAGTCGCGACAGAGTTGTAGTTCTAGTGCAGCCGACATGAAATCAAGCATCTTCTCACCTGGCAGTCGCATGAATTGGAGAATTGGGCACTACACAGTAAGATGTGTTCATGTGTTCTTGGGTACAAAATGTAAAGTTTAATCAAGCGTAATCAAAACCAGAGTCCTGGGCTACGCGGCCTCACGACTGAGTACCCAGCCAGGGCTATCTCAAATGGCGTATTGGCATCAGTAGTAAAGTGATTACCAATCATAGTTTAGGTTTTTACCAATCACAAGCAAATGCTCCGGACTTACGTCCTGAAACAAAACTTCCTTATTTTAAGGTGTCTCTTCATTTTTAGTAACCCTAAACAAGCACAGTCCAACACCAATCCTTCTTCAATTTTATTTTTAAATCGTTGCACCTAGTCTCCCAAAAGTGAAAAGATTCACACTATTATAAAAAAAAAAACTTCCATTGGTCCACCCATATTCCCATGTTTATATGAACAGAACCATAGACAGTAACATTTTATCCTTATCGATTACCACGAAGAAAACAATAACAATAACACTGTTTAGATCATTCGCCGTAGCAACTTGTTGATCTGATCCTCACGATTACCAAAATCACCTCCCTCAACAAAGTGATTGGTCTTCTTGGTCCAACCGCCAGTAGGATTGTTCAGCTTAAAGGGCCACAGGAAATTGGACGCCGCTTTGAAATTTGGACCCACATTGTAAATCTCATGAACAAGATCCTCCATGCAAATGATATCATATTTGCCTGAAAGTATCAATTTTCGACAAAAACAAAGATCATGGTGGTAGTTCCACACTAAATACGTTCCCTACAAACCATGGAACTTCTGGTTCCGTGGAACACCTTTTCCCTTAACACTGCTTTTATGATTAAAATATATAAAACCTTAAAGCGACTTACGAACCAAGAGATTCCTCAACAATGTTGTTGTCCGTTATCGGAATCCGTCGCCTGTCCACCTTCGCGAACCCACGTTTGTAAATAAGGTCATGGACGGTTTTCAGATTAGGATATCCCCATGCCACATACGGCTCAACAATGCGAAGAAGTGGAAGCGTTGCCTTATTGAGTTTCACGAATACACCATTATTGATTTGGCGCAAGCGAAGAATTTGAAGAGCCTGAAATTGATGTGTAGTACTTGAAGTACTAACCAACTGGTAAAACGACGTTGTTGAGCAGCACTACTCCACGGCCAACAAATTTGTCGGCCGTGAGATAAGTATGGCAAACATCTATTTTGCACGACTATAAATGACATGGTATATATTCAACCACAACAAAAGTGCTCGTGCAAGGAAACTAAGACTAAAGAGAATGCAACACCGGATAACTTTACCTTCCGAGGTCGTGGATGAATCTGGTTAATACCACGAATTCGAATCACAAATGCGAGCTTAGGTTCATCTGGAACGTAGAAATCGCCGTTCTTCTCCGCATTGCGTTTCAAGCGCAGCTGCTCTCTTTGCGCCTCGCGGTACTCTCTTACGTATTTCTCTGCTCTCTTGAAGATCTTTGCCCTTTTTTCCCTTCTCTTCTGCAAAATGAAAAAAACTCTTTCATTTCGCAGTAGTATAGGGAAAGTGGAATACAATTCAGTACAACTTAAAAAGAGCAGGAAAAGATAAAAAACAAGAAACGTAGAAACTTACAGCCGCGACCTTTGCTTTCTTCCGAAGGATCTTTGCCTTAATTTCGGCCCTCTGCTTCCGCCTTTTCAAAACCGTCTCCGGTACTTGTGGCAGTTTCTTCCTTAAACAGATGGAACAAAATAATCTTTGGAATGAGAAGGAAAAAACTAATTTAGAGCCTCACTCGGTCATGGTTTATCCTCAGGATACCCTGAAACGAAAACATCCTTAAGAAACAAGGAAATGTGAACGAATAGACGGATAGAAAATACCGCAAGCAAATATTTAAAAAATATTTGCAGTAATATGAGTGATGTAAGTCCACAAAAGCTATTGTGCTCATAGTTATAAACACTATAAAACCAATATGACCGATATCAATCGATAATCCCGATAAGTACTTAATAATCATTGATTCTCGATGCGCAAAAGTTAGTAGAAAAGAAGACTTAGAAAGGCAAATGGAAAGGTCACGAGCTAGCGGCCACTGAAGAATGAAGCCAGTTTTCATAATTAGAAGGACAACGAAAGAGGAGAAAGTTAAGGGTTTTCAAAGCAAACAAGTCAGATCCAAAAACAGAAAACACTTCACGGATTATTAAAAAAAACCTTAGTTGCAAGGACCAAAAAGCGACTTCTACTTTCCTAACTAACGACAGATCATTTTAACTATCAGGACGCTCTCTCGATATACGGACGTACATTTTCCCATACTAGTAACTACAAGAATCAGTACTGCATGCCCTATGGTAACTGGGTACTTATAGTTGTACTTACTGTCTTAATTATTTGTACTTACTGTCTTAAGGTGCAGAGTTAAAGCACAGAACACTAAAATGTATCGAAAACCGCTCTTAGGCCACATTATTGAAAAGTACCTTGATTCTAAACAGATCGTAATCCGTGAACGGTTGGATAATCGTCGCAGGACCGGCTATAGCGCGAGGTGTGAGCCACGCGGTCGTCCTTCTGATTGACGTGGAGAGCACTGTCGACGGTGTATGGTGGTTATTGTCATCGTCTTCGATTTTCTCATTGTGTTGATCGTTTGATGTGCTCATCCTTCTCTTCATGTATGATTATTTGAGCTCTGGACCTTGAAAATAGTGGTCCTTTTGTTAGGGCATTCGTTTGTATCCATTAAGCTCACCAACAATCCATTGTTTCATTTTCAGCCGGCTAACGATTCACAATGGGCTCTCGTGATGACGAGTACGACTACTTGTTTAAAGGTTTGTTTTCATTTCCAACGTCTCCAGTTGCTTTATGAAGGTTGTTAGTTGGGTTAGTTGGGAACCCTATGCGAGCCACAATCTACGTCTTGATGTTCTCGGTGATGAACTAATGTCCTAATGGTGATTGGTTCTCTAGCGATCATTGTTACTGCGGTTCTGCAAAACGATGTTTGCATTTTCGAGAGCTGCTCTAACCGTTTTCGCTTCCTTAGTGGAGAGCTATTTTCGCATTCTGACTCACACATACATTGATAGACACATGGACTGCGTTGGATAGTATGCGTATCGAACCCACAACATGTCACATATCGATCGATTTCTCGAACGTTCGAAGGTTCTGGAGAATTCGATAGGATCAAACACTTTGAATTACTTACGAGGATACTCGGGGGGATGCTGGGGGGATGAGTCCCTCTGTTGCACATCTTAGCCCGACACTCAGGAACATCTTCCAACCACGATGAGACGGTAAAAAGTTGGGGTATTTATATCCACGTTTGCATAGAAACCGTAGTATTTTATGAAGGCAGTAAAGTTTTGCATTCTTGGGATTGTGAAAGTTGGTTACGGACTGAGGTATACATCTTCTCCTCTAACTAATATGTTATGCTGCTGACCAAGCGTGTTTCTATATGGAAGTTCACTGTAGCGATCCTACGGTGTTCCTAACTGTTAGCGTTTGAACCACACTGATCGAATCTAGGTTTGTTGTTTGCGATTAAGCTCGTTCTAGTTATTTCTGAAAGGTAACCGATCAAAGAACCCAGGAAGTGTACGAGGCTTAATTTTAATTGGAACATTAGAGTGTGACATCAGATTCGAAGGTGGGCTAGGAAAGTGGGGAACAAAGCCTACACAGAGTGCTAAGCTTTAGATGTTGGCATTCTGTTCGTTTTTTTTCTTATTAGATCACTGACATGTTATATTTCTTGACCATTTAGTTGTGCTGATTGGCGACTCCGGAGTAGGGAAATCCAACCTTCTGTCGCGATTCACTCGTAATGAATTCAATCTCGAATCAAAGTCTACAATAGGTGTAGAATTCGCTACTCGTAGTATTCAGGTGGTTTTTCTTTATAACGTTAAGAAATTACTAGTAAATTTCTCAAGGTGTTTTGGTTTGGCACGTTTATATTTTCTTGTTTTAGGTTGAAGGGAAAACCGTGAAAGCTCAGATCTGGGACACAGCCGGTCAAGAACGATACAGGGCCATAACGTCCGCATACTACCGTGGAGCCGTGGGAGCACTGCTTGTTTATGATATTGGTTTGTTTCCTTTCTTTGGTGTTGCAAGACCGGAACAATATGATGAGGTCCTGCATAGATACTTAGAAACTTGCATAGAAGTACTTGCAAAGCTTAGTTGCAAGTATTCTGTGGTAGTTTATCCTTTTTGTCGCGTAAACATATTTTCAGCTAAACATGTAACGTACGAGAATGTTGAACGTTGGCTGAAGGAACTTCGTGATCACGCGGATCAGAACATCGTGATAATGCTGGTTGGAAACAAGAGTGATCTGCGTCATCTTAGAGCTGTTCCTACAGATGAGGCGAAAATCTACGCAGAGAAGAATCAACTGTCGTTTATTGGTTAGTTGTGCCTTCTGAAGGATAAGCTTTGTTTTCGAATATCTGGTCCTCAAATGCATTTTCTATGCTGGATGGGACGAAAGCACCAGTTCATTTGTGTCTAAATAGGGCCAGTTGGCATGATGAATAACTTCGTTCCAATGATAACCAGTAAGCAGCTCCCAGGATTAGTTGAAGGAAAAATGAAAAAAGAAAGGGACTATTCTGTGCCTAAAAAGAACAATGCGACAACGAGCAAGCACATGGTGAGGACGTTCACCCATGAACTATCGACTCGAATCCGGATCAGAAGAAGACGGAGACGTCGAAGTCTTAGTCGAATAGAACCTGTTACCAAACTCGAATTTGATTGGTGGTCGAAAAAACGATTGAGAACATTCTATACTAATCACCTTTTCGACTTTATATTTCTTCTTGGCTTAACTTGGCTGATACATGTGGTAGCAAATCAAATCGGGAATTCTATTCCAGGCTGCCAGACGAAGATTATATACTCTGTATCTACACAAACTAGTGAGAAATTGGTTTAATGGATCACAAATCTGGAATATAAGTATTGGAAATTGTTGTTAACAGCCTTGTTCCTCACAACGTCATGACGAGAACCGAAAGACCATCAATGCAGTTGTGGGGTTTTCTTAGTGGAACTCTGGGCTCTGAAACGTATTGCTTCTATGTTTCCCGTACGAACGGAACAAGTGACGCCACTATGTGTCTGCACTTGAAGAAGCTTTACTAGCGAGTGCTTTAGTCACCCTTTTATCAGCGAATGTTCAGCTGGTTACTAGATTTACGAGACAGTTCTTCAATAATGTTTCCTTTTCATATCAGAAAGGAATTGGTCATATCTGACCTACAATAAGGTTAATAGTGACGCAATACTCTTGAGCAGTTTGTTGCTTACGTTTCAAATCGTGATTTTTATGGAAGTGACGGTCCTTCATTAGATGTAGGAGTGCACGGGTAATATATATTTAGACGCGACTTTTCCAGAGATTTCCTAGGTCCTTTTTTGAAGTTAAGGTCTGACAAAGTGCTGTTCGAAGATATTGGTTTAAGAGTCCTGAGAGGATTTGGAGACGTTTTATTTCTGACATCATTCATATTTGGAAAGTCAAACTGAAGCAATTTTCTGATTTGCAAAGTTGAATGTTCAGAAACATCTGCCCTTGACAGCACCAACGTTGAAGCAGCGTTCACGAACATCTTGACGGAGATCTACAAAAGTGTGTCAAATAAACATGTCGGTTCGGATCGTATGGTCGTCTCGTTGCCGTCATCTGGAGTCGACATCACATCGTCGACGAATGAGAATCAAAGGAAGCTTTGCTGTTCATTGTGATGAATGCAAATCATCTTACCATGGCCTTTTTAGCCTCTGTGTCGCAACTGTCCCTAGGGCCAACAGTACACAATTGCTTTTACCTTAGCCTCTTATCATCATCTGGTTTTAATATTTAGTACTGTTTTTGGAAAGTTTCACTTCTACACAGGACCCATTGTTTGTGTTCCAGACACAGGACGATAATAATCGTTCGTCCATATCGCTGTAGTTTTCTGGATTATTGGATATGTTTCAATGTCTTTTGTATGCAAACCGCTTCGTTTATGGACTGCTGTGCTTTTCTTCCAATTCTGGTGTGTATCTTCAGTCAATGTATAACCGTCAGATGTGACATATAGCATTAATGTGCATTATCTGTCTGGTCGGTGACTAGCCCCAGTCATTTCGGTCGCAACTTTATGCAGTTTAACCCCTTTCGTAAGCTATTCAACGCATGATGTTTTCTTATAATCTGAAGGGACGTACATGTGATAAATCATGCTCATTGGTGTATACCAGTAGTGAAACCCCGTACGTCTCTTCGTTTTTACAGATGATTAAGTACCTAACCAGTGATAAATATTGTTTTAAATGTTGTGTACCCGTGCAAACGACGTATAGATGATAGAAGCCTCGTATTTTGTGGATGGTGACTGAGGGATAGTGGCATCAAGTGCTGCCAGCAGAGATCCACCGTACTGTTAGTTAAGTCTACCTCAGAGCAGTTGGAATTCCTTAATAAATAACAAGAATTCAGTGGGTCTCCGCAGTGTGTTTTACAAGGGCGAGGGATTGCGTAGCAATTATTGTAACTAAATTAATTTATGTCCAATAAAAATGATAGAAAGGTAGAGCACTGGGCGTTGATTGATCCCCAAGGAGTGCGCCATGCATTCCGACTTCACTAAGTATCGCTGGAGGTGACTGCATGCATATTTGGCCTTTACAATGACCCGCGATGGCCTACTGATGTATCGAGCCAGTGCTGCTAGCCTCTCAAAAAAGTCGTACTAATTTGCCGACCTCGGGAGGATGGAAGGCTTGGTGAGCTTTGGGTGCGAGGATCGATCCCATGTGTATTATAAGGCGCCTCCGACTACTGCGCTACACGTGCTCATGTATCCCACAAGAATCTCATTAGGTACGACTTTATTCTAGGCGTTTATAACTATGCTAAAGTGGAGGAGTGGAATTGAAGCGGACCAATCAATAACTACTCTTTCTTTGGTGAGCTACCAAAGTTGATAGATTTTACTGGGCCAACATTTCGACGTCATTCTCTTCCGCAAAGCTGATGATCCGAATCGATGGTCCATAGTTGTTCGTCTTCTCTATGTGAAGTCTTCGTCATCGTATCGAATTGGTTCTCCTTCACTGGAGCGTCACTCGAATGAGGCAACCTCACCCGGTGATGCCCTTCTATGGAGAACAATTTTCGTCCATATGATCGTCCGGGGATGACTTGTTTTTCTCCGGATAATCCGTTCTGCAGAAGTCGGTATGGTTACCAGCTAGTACAAAGCGTAATAATACTTTAGAAATCGACTTTCCCCTAACCTTAGCATCACCAATCAATACGTGTTCTTTCGAAGCGGACTATTGATCGCGACAGACCTTGCACTAATAAAGATTCCATTTACAAGCGAAATATACGTGTTAGCATAACATCGCTAAGCGATCTCCGAGTAAGAACCGCTGTTGGAGGAACCCAACTCACGTTGACGACGGGTGGGTGAGGGGTACGGTAGACGACGAGCGCTGCGTGACCCGCAAATGCACGTGACGACCGATGCACGCGACAGCAGCGTTGCGCGAATTTCAAACGGTCAATAGTCGTGGCTGACACGCTGCGCGTGGCGTAGTGTCTGTAAATTTTCGTTTCATTCCTCAGAATTTTCTCGTTCATTACGTCCCTTGTTGTTATTGCTCGTCGAACGCTTCTAATGAGCGGTCGGTCGTCGAACGGTGAAGCACTTGACGGTATGAGCCCAGAAGGCGAGTGTTATGACCATAGCTGACACTGAGAACGACGTAGTTTTGTCCCAGCAAGTCTGTGAAGGTTTGAGGCAGCGTGGCTCAGTAATTTCATGGAGTAAATCCAAGGAGTAAATTAGTGTACTAGCATAAGTTCGTTAACGTCTGGTATCTGCTGAAAGCGTTTCCGCACTATCTGGGTTAAGGACGTTACGGCTAGGTCCGTCTTTAAGCCTTTAGTTGGGATGTTTTGCTCTGTTCAATGTTTTGCTAATTTGTCTAGTTCATATGGAAGCAGAAAGAAAAGCACAAGTATTTAAGCCTTCACTGGCTGCTGTAGGTACGGTTCGTATCGCAGCTCAAATACGGATCTTTATAAATGGTGAGAAGTGAATCTAAGCGATTAAGGAACTTAAGTACTTAAGAAACTGGTGAATCCCGAGAAATCACCTTTGTTGTCGAAAGCGGATGTCCAGACGAAATTGTTAGTTTATACTTATTCGATGCAGATTCATCTCTGCCAGTGTTTTAGATGACGGTTGCTCGACGTAGTACCGAGACCAGCAAGCTCAATCCTGACAAGCAAGTAGCGCCATCGTCCACTCCACCAAGATCGTCACGAAAACGGCGGAAAACCACTGAATCCGGCGTATCGGCGAATGCTGTTCCCGAAGAACCACAGGCTTCTCAGCCTGAGACAGCAGTCTCAACTCGCCCGAAGCGTACGATCAGGAAAAGTGTCCTATTGTCAGATTATGAGGTTCGTGACTTTTCCCTTTAGTGTTGTTCTAAGGGTATTCAGCGATTTTCTCATGTACCAGTAATTCCATACATCACTTTGGTGGTATTTACAGTTGGTAGTTTCCAAGAGAAGGACAGTAACGCAGATTTGGCCCACTGTTTCATTGGTGCGTGATAGTTGGGGTTCATAGCTGTAATGAAATCTCAGATATTCAAAATCGATCATAGTATTGAACTTTTTGGTTCTCCTCAACATTGAGAAAGTTCGTGTTTAATTGTGAACCACGGTTGATCCTATACGCGAGGACATGAAAGGATTGTCTTAGAGTATTTAGTTATTTTGTAATAACTATGTGTCGTTGCACTTTATACATGAGAAGCATTGTATTTTACAACCTAAGTGTTCCCATCTTTAACGGTGTGATGTTTAGGTCATGTTACCTACTGCTGTAAAAGAGGAGCCCGAAGATGAAACGAAACGTTCGACTGTTATAGAAGAAGTTGAAGAGCAATTCGTTGACATAGAAACCACTCCTGAGGAAGACGAGTTGGATGGTAATGTGAAAGCTGAAGAACGAACACTAATCATCCAGAAGAAACCTTCCTCTCGCCGAGTTGTTGCGGCACCTCCGTATATTGAACCTGAGGTTGTCTACGGAAAGACCAAATGAATTCATGTAAGACTGTATTTTAAGTTAATATTTTTTTCGTTTTAGGAGGTTGGCCTTGACGGTGAAATGGATATAGAGTGCATTGAGCTGATGGGTCATAGTGCTGATGGAATAATGACGTTGGCTGATTCGATAGATGTGGCTCTCGAAGAAGAAGTGTCTGGTGGTGAAGACGACCAGCCTCCTATGTTGGAGAAGAGTGCGGAGTGTGTTACCTTAGCAATAATTTGTTTAGATAGTCGTGCAGAGTACGGTTTACTTTCTCCACATTAGGAGGAAACGACCTCGTGGAAGACCTCGAAAGCATTCTGGTAGCAGTGCAGTGATCCATCGGACACGTTCTCGTCGTTTAGTGCCTCTACCTCGTACACGTTACGTTGCAGACAAGGCTATCAGTAAAGGAGAAGCAGAGAAAATTAATAGTTACAACATAAAGCTGGTTAGTTCCTATTATTATTACGTTTTTTTAAATGTAGGTGAAGTGGTTCTGTTCATTCACATTCGTATAACTTCAGTCTAAGTAATTATGGATTGGTTAAAGCGGGTACTAATAGCTCATTCATCTCTTCCCAAAGTTGCTAGTGGACTCCCTCGCTATTACCAAATATATAGCATGAAACATTTCGTTTTTTGAGGCGCTTTTCTTCCCTTTTAAAGCAAGAAAGCATCCGGTGGTGTCTCTTCGTAACTTCCAAACTTCTACAATATGCTTTGAATAGAAGTTATCCAAAAATTGCATCGGAAACTCAAATTCCTGGAGTTTCTAACGCAAGCGCGATAGCCGTGGTCTCAGTGTTTTGGGTGACTGGGAGGGGGTGGGGTGCACCACTGGGAAATCTTAACTGTGGAATCGCTTCCACGTTCGAAATACACAGGTTTACAAAGAATCAGGTGTAGTCCGCTCTAGAGACTCAGAATTTTATCGTTTCATAAGATGACCATATCGCATCCTGCCGGCAAAACATTTGTAGATTTTAATCGTTTTTGCTCCAAGCAATAAACTTCACTACTAGCTGAAAACTGTTAGTTTAAAGTTCAAAGCTGCCATATTTTCACATTCAATGTATTGAAATCAACGCACGTCGTCCGTTCCTTGTTAGCATGGGTAGTTTTTTTGCTTATAGAAGCAAATGTAGGTGATGAATTGACCATAGATCACTGCGTTTTTGAAAACAATGTGTGATATTTTGTCGCATTTTATTGAGTTGGTTAACACCCATTGCAGACTTCTAGACATCTCATAATATCACTAAAGTATTTGAGAAGTTGAGAACTTGGTATATTTATGGGGAAGACTTTACCATATTTCCTTAACTCAAAACGCCCCTTATGGACACTAAAGTGGTCATAGCGGTTATGACCAAACCACCGTGTGAACACTATTGTGTCCATATTCAGTTTAATAGGTTCTAGAGTTTTTTTTATCGCATTATGTGTATTCATTTGATAGCTAATCGAAAGAAGATTGAAACAGAAAGCGTGAGACCAAGGAAATCGTTCTTTACATTTAATTATGTGCAAAAACCTTTTTTCGAAAAGGTCAATTGGCCGGTAATTTGATTAACAATTAGCTATCTAATCACTTTTTATTTGCTGCTTATTCTTTTTTCGTGGCAGGGGGTACTGCGTGAAATATAACTATAACGTTGCTTAGAGATTTGCAAAACTGCGGACCGCAGATGTTTGCGGCGGGGATCGAACTTCATTATTGCCTTTTCCGGGGGCTAACGTGTTCACCACCTCACCATGCGTGTCCTTCGTTTCATCTTTCGCGCAGCCGTGTTTTATAGGCGCCATCAGCAATCAGCCGTCAACGGGATTGATCTGGGGAGCATAAATCTGCATTGAACTCATTTAAGCTGAAATTCTAGTATAAATCACAATTTAATCATGAATCGCACGTTAGCCCCCGGAAAGGGTAATAACGAGGTTCGATCCCTGTTGCAGATAACTGCGGTCCGGAGTTTTGCAAATATTTCAGCATCGTTGTACTTGTATAACAATTAATTGTCATGTTATTTTAATCAATGTGGTCATTTTGTAGAACGTGCGAAAACCCGAAATAGACTCAAAATGGGTAGCATACACACCCATACAACGATAGAGCAAAGTCTCTTCTACAATTCTATCATGGTTAGAACCCCTAGGGCAATCCATTTATTCAAAAATGAGGGTAGTAACATGTTCGATCCCCATCTCGGACACCTACGGTCTGGAGTTTTTCAAATATCTCAGCATCACTGTGGTTAAATTTTTTGAGATTTCCCATACATACGCTAGATCCGCGTCCTCAAACAGTAACGATTAATTGAGGAACACGATCGTGTACTGCTGGACAAAACATCGCTGTTCAGTTGCACTTGTAGAAATAGCAAGACCGTTCACAATGTCAAAAACACAAGTTTGATTTTTTGATTAATATTTTTCTATTACTATATTTCACTTCCAAATACCACGATTGATCATGGTTATCGTAGACAGTACGTAGGTATTAGTAATATCGAATTTCGCTCAACATGTGTTACGAAAAGCTTCCAATTGTTGACAGAAATGTGCCTTGACGGTGAGCTATAGTAAAACAGCAAACAGTAACATGTACACCTCTGGGACGTTGCAGCTCGATCGCATAGACATGAAGTTACTAATAAGAACTTATTCGATGCTGGCAAACTTCCTGGTGGTTTTACATTCTTTAGAGCCTGGAAAAGTCAAATTAATACAAAGTCTACTCGACCAAATACTTCCTTAACCTGGAATCTCAAAACCTAATAGCATGGGAAATAACCTTTTTAAATAGCCATTGTCTTGCTCCTTGTACAGCTTTTTTAGATAACCATCACTTTCCTCGTAAGTGTTCCAATTGTCGACGAAGACCAGCCGCACTGTGTTTGGATAGATGTAGAATGTAGCACTCCCATTTAAAAAATCGGTTTGAGATATTTGTGAAATCACGCGTGATAACAAGGCATTCCACCTTTACCGACTAAATAATCCTTTTACGGACGCAGAGTGGTCGCAAAGTACCTGTTTCGCCAAGGTATTCTTCCTGAACGCTTTACTAGAAAGACCTTATCCGAACTCATGCAAACACCGTCTCTTCCGTTGGTGGAAACTGTGCAGTTTTGTGTTTCGCATAGGCGGTTCACTTGAGCATGCAGGGTTTCGAAAAGGATTTGTTACTTTGAACCACATCAACTCAATAACAGGACTCAGCGAAGTACGGAGAGAATACAAGAGACTGCTTTTTCGTAATTTCGTCGATTCAAAGAAGGCTTTTGTCTTAGTCGAGACAGAAGCACTCAAAGGGAAGAACCGCACAAACAACAAAGGCAATCGAAGAACAAAGAGAACCCGTCTCCATGCCCATCCTTTCGACTCTTTCGTCTTAACGTGTGCATGAGAAACATGGTGGCTACGTAAGCAGGATAGAAGATTACTAAGCTTTACAGGAGACGCAATCAGAAGGACGATTCTGGGAATGCTCATTATCACGCAATTGAGAGAGGTGATGTAACGCTGCTAACCACGTCAACGATCAAAAATTAAAGATACCGTTCTATACGTCAATTTGTCGGAAGTAAGGTGGGCTGGGCTTGTAATATATGTGAACGACAACTGATACATAAGAGCCGTTAACAGTTGGATTCCTAAGAATGTGAAACGCGCAACGGAAACACAACTGCCTGATGGCCAGAGTTATTCAGGAAAAGCCTTGAAGAAAGATATGGTGCTCAGCGAGTCCTTACAACCAGTAGAATCTACCGGGCTACTGTTGACCTCGACAGGGAGAAACGGAAGGTTTACAGGTGCGTACTCGAGTCACTGTACGATTAGTTGGACGTCAAGTGATACAGGTGATACACACATAACCATAAAAGCGATTACCAAATAACTGACAATATAGCGTGTTCGTTGGTAATTTAGCCATTGTTATCGCCTCTCGTAGACTAGTTATTTTTAAGCATTAATTTATAACAACGCTTATTTCGTTTAAAAATAGACGCAACCTTATTCTCGGTGCACTTGTCGTTTGAATGCGTAATTTTTTCTCGAAATCTATTTGGAGCACCTAACGCTTCGTAGCCCCTGGAAATGGCTATTTACGTGCCTATTTCAGAGCTTCTTCCTTTTGCCCTCTTTATATGCACACACTCGTGCCTGTTCGAAACATGTTTCCTACAACTATCCTTTTTGTTGGTGAAGGGTGAGAGGAGGTGTTATGGATCAGTATGTTTTTATTACTTGACTTTCGGTACCATTTTGTGATGTGGGCGCTTTTAGATAGGTCAATTTGAACGTTCAGAACGTGATCCCAGTTTTCTTTTGCTTCCTTTCGAGTGAGGTTTATATACTCTGTGTGTTCATTCAAGGAGTCAATGCATTTCTCTCTCTCTGTCTTGTATAGAGCAGCTAGCGAAAAGGTCATCTGTGTATCTACAGTAATGGGCGATGATCGATCACTGCAGCTTCAGTTTTAGAAGTAAACACAGTGACAAGGCTGGGTGGCAGTCGCTTTCCCAATCTCAACCATTTCATCTGTTTCTTATATTCCTGGACCATATAGCGATTGAACATCTCAGGCACGTTTTCGGGAGGGCCAGAAGCTGCTGAAACTTCAAACCATACAAATCTATTCTTTGCTCGTGTTGCATGAGGAGTTCGGGGCGGCTCACATTACGGAGTCATCCGATACGTTTGTATAAAAGGCGATAACGCCGAAGGACTCCATCATGTACGCGCTGTTGGCGTTACGTAAAAAATCCAGGAATATTCGGGTGTTTGTGGGATGGGGCATATTTTTTTTCATTATTTCACCTTCGGTAAAAATTTTGATATAGATCTTCGGACAAATTCATTTGGACGTCTAAAAGCGGAAATTAATTTCCTCTCGGCTTGTCTAGGGTGAATTCTATGTGCTCTTGCTTTCCATTGAATAACTCAGAATATACTTCCATCTCCGTTATTGTAAAACAAATGACAAAACAATCACAAACGTATCTACAGTAAAGTGATGGAAGGAAATCGAGTACTGTTGCTTCCATTTTGGGCGTGAACGTAATGTTAAGACCCTTTTCTACTGATGTTACGGAAGTATTTGGCTGAGTAGATTGTTCGTACCAGCTTGATCTTTCCATATTCTGAAGAAGGAGAAGCCGCCGAAGCGTTAACTTCTGTGAAATAAGTGTCGTAATGATAATCTCATGTCTATTCATTAAGAAGGCGGGATCTTAATAAAACTATACTTATTATGAATGCATTGTCCATTAGGTTTGTATATATCAGGTTGATAAGTTTTCTTGTATAGGCAGTTGGGAACAGTACCTGCTAACACCGTTTAGAGAGTCATCGTTGAGGAAGTTCTTTTTTCTCATGCTTTAAGGTATCTGTTATTCCAGTTCGAAAGCGAAGTTGGATTGACAGAATTTGGAGATCGCTATGCAACGGTCATACCCGGATGTCTAAGCTATTTACTGCGCAAAGAGCGCATCGTGGAACTCCTAACTGACCCGGCTGACATTGAGGCAATGTGGGGCGATTTATTCTTTTCATTAATGTTGTATCTCTCTTTTAGCACTGTTTTTGGTGTATATTTAGTCGTGAACAAGGATGGATGTCTGTAAAGCCACCTCGATTGCCTCCACTTGTGGCGACGAAGGCGTGTTTTGCATTTTATATAGAAGGATCCACAGTGAGTTCTGTGAGGGAATTGTCGAGTGATGATCTCAAGCCGTGGACTACTACAGGTATGATTTCCATTCTTCATAGAATTCAATGCATGTTCATTTCCACTTTTTGTTGAGTTCTGCGGAAATCTTTCTAGTGTTTTTTCCTTTCTGGGTGTTAACAAGTTTGCTTTTATTCGTTCTGTTTTTCGTTCTGAAGTTTATCCTGTTTTCTTTCAGATCCTGTAGAAGGTGAACCCACCATCAAACCCAATGTAAGGAAGCACGCAGTGGCAAGAATAGATGGTCGATTCGAGCCTTGTAAAGGCGATGGTAGAACGTCTGAATTTCACCTTACAGAGTACAGTGCTTGGCTTCCAAGACTTTTGCGACTACGGAAGAAGGTGATATTGTTGCTTATTCTTTGCTCAAGTGCATTCCAGTGAAATGTAGGAAGTGGTCGAGACATCTATAGTCTTCCTCTTTCCCCAAACAGTCGTCTTCGTTCTCCAGTATGTGGTGTCAAAGTAATTTATCAAGTTAAGAAATCCGGAGGTTTGATTCCAGATTTTTTATGTGGCACGACAAACAGGACAAATCGTTGGTAACGTGCTGATATTGTACGATTTTACAATGCCCGGTGAAATACCATCAATAATGAACATCGCTCATGGTAATGATGCACTACGTGATATGCAACAGCTAGATTTATCAATGGAAATGCCTGTTGCGGATGCGGACAATCCGGTAAGCACTGAGAACTCAGGAGTTATGTGGCGTTAAGAACTTAATAGCAGAAGTGCTGAGTTGCTGCGGGTAGGTTTTAGTGCACGTTGGACAGTCTGCGAAAGTTTCGGCTTTGAGAATATTGTGATAGCTTTAGAGGATGTTGCAGAGTACTAGTTCAGGAATAAGTAGGGGCATTACTAAGATGAAGAGCGGTAGTTTCGACAGTTTCAAGTTTCTTCTATCGTAAATGTGCAAGAAAAGTTTCTAAGTTTCTTTTGGAGCCAATCACAGTGTATTTTCCTTTTCTTTCCTTTTTTTTTGAAAATTTAGAGAGGTGTTATATTTTGAAAAAGCTTTCTCATGCTTGCACAAGTATTTCGATAGGATAGTAATGCAGCGCGATCTATAAATGTCATTATTTATAAAACACAAGTGTGATTTTTCCATTAAATTTAGAATCAAGTTTTGCAACAATGTGTGAAATTAAAGCTCTCTCTCTTTCTGCGTTGATCAATCCCTGAGGGATGCTCCATGCATTCAACTTCATTAAGTATCGTTTGGAGGTGACTGAATGCATATCTGGCCTTTATAATGACTCGCGGTGGCCTACCGATGTATCGAGCCAGTGCTGGGGATGGAAGGCTTGGTGGACCGTCGGCGCAGAGATCGATTCTGCATGTGTGTCGCGTGTCGCAGTGGCCCCTCCATCCACTTCGCCACACGCGCCTTCTTTTAATTTGTGAAATTATCTGGAGAAAACTGCAAAGGAGCCGTCGGCATTCTTTTGCGTTAGAATGTGCTAGAATTTCTTGGTCTGGATATGAAAATATTTAATTGACAAACGTTTCACATCGACTGTAAAAAAGTAAACCGTACATGGTATTTGGGGAATTACTTGTTTGTATTAGAACAAAAAGGCTTTGTTGAATAAGCTGTTACCAGTGATGATTGCTTCGTCTCTTACGTCAATAATGCAGACAGGATTCTATGGTTTGCTCTAATGATGCTGAGATATTTGCAAAACTCCGGACCGCAGGTGTCTGCGGTGGGGAACGAACGCGCTATTGTCCTTTCCGGAGAGTAACGCGTTCACCACCGCACCACGCGGGTCTAGAGTAGGCAGTAAATAATACATTAAAATTGTGGTTATAACTGCAACCTCAGCTTAACTGGGTTCGTTGCCGATTTGCACTCCCCAGATCAATCCCGCTGACTGGTGGTTGCTGATGGCAAAAGATCGGTAGAACTAACTAAAGGACAGACGAAACGAAAGAACCGCATGGTGTGGTGGTGAACGCGTTACTCCCCGGAAAGGACGTCCATTCCCCACCGCAGGCACCTGCGGTCCGGAGTTTTGCAATTATAACAGCATCATTAAAGTTATATTTCGCAATGTATACCCTGTCGTTAAAAAGAGTAGGCAGTGAATGATATGTTAAAATCTACGGTTTGCTTCCAAATAAACGAAATTAGCAATCGAAAACTTAGTTTTTTTTCAAGTGTTGCATAGATTTGAAAGGAATGTTTTATCGTGTGCTCATTTCAACTGCCACCGTTGTGGCGATTGGCGTGGACGTTACTGAACTTTAGAAGTTCGCTCAGTATTATACGAGAACCTCCCAAATATATAGGTTTTCTTTCAAGGCAACACTAATGGACACATGGCACAACTAATTCGTCAGCATTACGGGAACTCATCCGAGAACTGCTAGCAGGCCAAACATAGTATTCGAGAGATGGGTAGCGCAGTGGTCGTGATCCCGTTTAATAAACACAAGGTTCTAGTTCGACCTCTTCCCTTCCTTCCTACCCTTCCCTCATCGAGACCAGCAAACTTTCCATCCCTCAGTTGTCGGGGAATTGGTGGAAAACTTGTCTGGGTTAACCTACTACCTTCAATTCACGTGATAACACATAACACAACTACCGGATTCCAAGGAGGTCCTGGTCGACCAAGATTCAACGAGATTAATAAAAGACTAAAAATCCTCAGTAAACATCCTAAACCAAATGAAGATATTCGGAAGACGCCGTAGGTGATAGATGCGATAAAAACACCTCGTGTAAGAGAAGTGCTAGGATCCACATAGGATGTCGGACCATGTAAAATAAAATGTAACAGAGGATAAATAAACATGCGCCTCGTACTCTGTTCCATAAGGGTGTAGTCACATTTCTATCTTTAAGAAGCATTTCCTTGATAAGGCGATCGATGATATAAAACAAACCTCCGAAATAACTCGGGCAGTTTATCCGCTTCGAATAAAATGCATGGGCGAACATAGGTTAGGTATATTTGGTAGATTTTCCCAGTGATTGTGTTGCAGGCTTTAAATGTACTTCAGCGAAGTTACTTGGTGAAGAAAAAGATGGCCAGAATGTTTCGAAGTTTTATCTTTGAGCCGGATTTAGCATTGCACTGCAAATTAGCAATTGATGAGGAGAGGAAGAAGGGAGGAGCATGTAGGGGAATAGAATTTTTCATCGCAACAAGTTGACTTTCGAACTTCATATATGCAAGCTAGTAACATTGTTATGGCACCCAAATTGCTTACAAATATTTAATGGGTTAATTCATTTAAGAATGTCAGTCAATGTCATATTAAGGTTTTGAAGCAGTTGGTGATATTTGAAGCAGCCTGAGTAAATAATGGACCTGTGAAAGTTATTTTTGACCCATATATATTTCTTATGGTTCCTTACTGTTGATTTGATTCGTAGACAATAAATTAGTTTTAGTTCGTCGAAGGCATTGTGCCGGGCGTTCGAGGAGAGAAATTTCTCAAAGTGCATCCTTCAAAGGTCGGATGGGTGAATAACAAGACTTTGTTGCTGAAGTATCTCATTAACGATCCGACATTTTTGTGAGTTGCTTTGCAAGAAACTACATATAGTTTCAGTGCTGACATTCATTTTTGAATTTCGAGATCGACCAACATCTCTTACGACTTGATCTAATCTAGGGATGAAGCTGGATATTTGAATTCGCATGTGCCTTTTCTACCACCAATGATCGAAGGGCGAGGTGTCTTCGTACATTTTGCTCCTGCTAGTCTTGTTTCGGACCACATTCACCATACGGGTGACGGTCTATCACCTTGGACTTTTCAAGGTAACTGATCTGATTAAAAATAGCTCTTTTGTTTAATACTAAATTTCGTTTCATGCTTCATCATTTTTATCTCTTAGGAGCGTCTCTGCACAATCGCGTTCGCACTGTTAAGCGTGCGTTAACGCAGGATTCGGAAGGAGTGTTTCGGCTAACAAAACAGGACTGGCAACAGACTGGTTTGGCCCTGGTCGAGACCATTACTGTATTGGCGAGGTGTCCACGATTGAGGAAGCGGGTTAGTCATTTTTGTCCCTTCTGCAGTTTTGTTGTTACAGTAGCTGATATTAACCATATCGTCTGCTGCTGAGTTAGTTCTTGCTTGACGAAATTGCTGTATGTCATTAAGGAACCAGGACGAGTCTTACTAAGTTCTGAATGGTTTAAAAGTACGGCAAACGTTGAAATTCTTATAAACTCTTCATTAGAAGCTGTCTGCATACATGTATCCATATAGCCAGCCCTGTGTTAAGCATATTGGACACAATGTCACGGATTTTCAGGCATTTCCTAGTCTGGGTTTGGCTCTTCGAAAATTCAGAATGTACTGGCTCCTTTGAAGAAAAGACAGTGATCGGACGTGCGGTGTTATACCTTATGCTGTTGAGTGGTCTTTGTTCTGTTTGTAAGGATGTGATCGCTCTGTACGTGAATCAATCATGCCGATGATTCTAACTCACAACCAACCACCCTCCTTTTTCTATAGTTTCCGTGCGAGGAATATGCTTCAAATGAGGAACTGAGAATAGGGTCTCCGTGTTTGTTTTGAATTTCTACTTCTGCGCATTGTTTTCACCTTAATGGGATTTTGTTCCTTCTTATAGTAGTTCGCAGGTGTGTTGATGTGACACTGAACCGGTATCGGTTTGTTGATTTGTGAGATCTACTGACCTATGCGGTTCACAGGATACCTTTGTGGAAGATTTAAGTCGATGTTTTGTTGTTTGGATATATTTCCTGCAGTACTAAGGTCTCTGTATCGTATCTTGTTTTATTTTACGTGACACTTCTTCACAATTATGCGGATCTCAGCACTTCTGGCATTCGATTCGTTTCCTTCTCATCCTTTATCCACAAACGACTTAAAATTTTTCGCATGTGATTTGACTGCTGCTTGAGCGGTTTTTATCTTGTTTATGAATGTCACTGAATGCTAGATGACTCAATTCTCGCTAGAGTCCTGGGATACCTAGACTAGAGCGCACCCACTTACCTTACAGGAAGAACTCCCACTTCTACTATAACATACTATGATTGCTAAACCAACACTGATTTTTGATTTATTAAAGTTTTTTATTACTTTCCGTACTCTTATCTCTGGAATTTTTCCCATTAGCCATATTTCTTGCTTGTGGTGCAAGTAGCTTCGTTGGCGTGTCCATGAGTGTTTCCTCGTTATGGAAGTTCTAAGTGGTCACTGAAATCTCGCATCCATTATCTAGATCCACCGTTTAAGAGGTTACTTGTCCGGAACTCTGACTCTTCGAAATGTGTATTCGATCGCTGAATTGTTCCCAGAATCTAATTATATCTTCACATTTTTTCGTAGTCCATGTAAAGGATTTTAGGTTCACTTCCGTCGCAGCAAAGCGATGATCAAGAAAATATGAAGTAAAATCGAGTCGTTACTGCTTTACATTTTCCTACCTTCTCTAAGTCATAAAGAACATGTAGATAACAATCCACTTAATCCAGTTTTGGTTGATGTGGAAGTTATTGCTTAGATATAACTTTGAATCTATTCATGGTCTTTTCTGTCGCCAGAACGGCACAACATAGAAATTCACACAGTCTTAGGTTTGTGTTAAATGCGATCACATTAATGCTTAACTATATGTATGAATACTGGAACCATCTGTGTTCATCTTCTGAACACTTGCGTCGTTTCTCCACAGCAGAATTCTTGTGCTTCTGATCCACGTTTGATCTTGAACCATCGTCTGGAGCCTTAAAGACGTGCTAGTCATGAATTTTTTGACTTCTGCTATTTTGGAGATGAGTGGCATCCCTGTTTTCTCTAGTATTCTACGAAATTTAAGCTAAATTGCAGTTTACGTTTTAACATCTTCGTTGCTGCTTTTGTTTTGATTTAAATTGGACCAAATTTTCCTTTGTTTAAATTTTTCCATCTTTTTTTCTGCCTGTAAAGTTTATTTTCAGGTGGTTTTCATTCAACGTAACAATCGCATGGTGCTGGGGATTGTGTGCTTTATGTACGAATACATTCGTGAAGGTCCGATTCCTGAGATTCTACGTGATAATTCAATTGCCGTTCCAGGTCCACCAATCTCAGTGGGTTTCAGTACATTCCGCACACAAGTGTAACTCTTTGTACGTTTTGATTCCATTGTATAGGGACGCCACTCTAATGTTATGTCATCCACTCATGAGAAGGCGCACTCTGGTGGAATGTTTGGCGCTTGCAGCATTGCTGACGATTTTGTTGATGTGGAAGAAATTATGGAAGCAGCAGATGAAAATGATATCTCAGTGAATGGACCTCAAGGAGAAGTACGTTTTCAGTGGTAGTACATTTAGAACTTACGGAAATAGTTTGTTCGATAAGAAGGCAATTGCTTGCATTTTTATACCTGGATCTCCCTCACTGTCCTCTTCATAGTTGATGAAGCTTTCGGGTGTTATTGTTCGGTCCGTATGTCACTTTTAGCACATTACTTACTACTTGGATATTTGGATGGCCTGTCTTCACTGGTTGTGTGGGTCTCAGCATGATTTTTATTCTCCGGAGATTTGCTGGTTTAGCCACTGTGGTTCCCTGGATTCCTGAGGACAGCTTGGTCAAAGTCCGCCAGGTCGTCAACACCACAGGCAGTCGCCGCCTTTGTGAGAGAGATTTGTCGTCAAGTGACTAGTTTGATATCACGACGGTGGTGGATCCTGGTATTGGCACTACTAGCACATTTTGTGAATACAAATGATAAACACGTGTTATCTTGTAAGCGATATCCTTTAAAAGTTCCGTGTTGCGAGCGCTATGGTTGAATTTCGTTGCACTAGGGTATGAGTGAGAATCAATCTGAAATCTTCAACGTGGTTGAGATCTCAATCAAAGCACCATGACCACCGCAAAACGCATGTAAAACTGTCGATTCCAACTGCAGTATACCGTCATTCAGGACTGCTCAATTGGTTAGATTACTTGTCTAAGGTGAATCTTCGTCAACGAGGGATAACTGGATGGTGTTATCTCAACGCTGTGATACGCTGTTTGAACTAGTTTTAGAACAGCAGGCATCAAATTTAGGCCGATGATGGTCTCTTGGTGAATCCTGTGACCAAACCTCGTTTCAATGTGATCCACCGTACTATGAATTTTCCGTGCAAATCATACTTGTTAAACCGATTGGACCGTATCTAAGGGACTTATCATCCACAGGGTAATACTTATAGGGGAAATCAGGCAGTACTTGCGATAACCATCTATTCGGTTACAATTGCTGTTTAGGATGATCGTCGCACGATGTTCAGATGGTCTGGGATACGTTTCTTTTAACGACACTTTCTTACCTGAATTACAATAAAGATATCGAAGAAAGACGTCGAAAAGCTGATGGTTTTTGGATTCCAACTCGAAGAAAATGGCGTGTGAAATTATCCGTTCATGCAGTTGTGCCTTAATTCATTCTCCTTATGGCATGATAGCCCAGGTCGTGGAATGGTATTGGCCACAACACGTGTATATCAGGAGATCTCTAACCATTGTACTATTCTCCTAGTCTATAATTTAGTGCACATAATTCATCGTTACCAGCTGGTGAATGGAATTTCATGGTAATCATTTTCTTTTACCATGTCTGGAGTTGGAGAAGTGATTGGTCAGTTCTCATTTAAGACGACTAGGTGGACACTGGATCGATGCCACGACTAGTCCTATCACGATTTGGTGACAGGATCCTCCTTTGATGGAGCCCAGCACGTAGTTATATGTGGATCATTTTGTCATCTTTGTAGTGAGATTTCTGCGTGGGATTTCATATGTACTGTATGACCATAGGGATCAATGTTAAGGAAAGCTGTTATGGGTGTGATAGTGTGATATACTACAGAAGCGTAAGGCAATATCTATAACTTGTTGTTTTGCTTTATACTAATGACGTCCTATAATCCTAGATTCGTGTTTCCGCTGTCTCATTAGCGTAGGCGAAAGTGTTCGGTGTGCGGGATCTGAGGCAGATATTTTTCTTATTTTGAAACTCCTTTTATGGAATCCTGAAGCATTCCATGTCATTATTGAAGAGGTTCGCAACCTCTCATATATATATGTTATTTCTATGACTCGAGTTTGTCCCTATATAGACTTTGACTTAGAGATTGAACTCCTTTTCCACCTTAGATGAAAAAAATAATTTATAATGGTTTTTTGCGAAATATAACTACTACAATGCTGAGATATTTGCAAAACTCCGGACCGCAAGTGTGCGCTGGGGAGCGAATGCGCTATTCTCCTTTCCGGGGAGTAACGCGTTCACCACCACACCATGCGAGTCCTTCGTTTCGCCTGTCTCTCAACTCAGCTAGTTCTATCGATCTTTTGCCATCAGCAATCACCCGTCAACGGAATTGATCTGGGGAGCGCAAATCAGCATTGAATCCAGTTAAGCTGAGGCTATACTTATAATCACAATCTTAACCTTTTTATTTCCTGCCTATTAGGCAGTAAATAAAAAGGTTAAGATTATAATGGTTTTGTCTATATTTAGATTTATGCCATTGAAATAATGGGTTTTAGTTCGAAGAAATGCATGAGGATTGCTTAGATGGTGGTTGGGATGGAGACTTCGATGAGGATCTTCTCGCTTCACAAGAAAATTGCGATCCGGTTTGTTTTCCAGAGCAGTCGCTATCATTGTTGCTTGTATCATTTTAAATAATTCACTATTTCAGTTCATCGATGGTGTTCGTGAATTAGAAAGTGGTCATGTCTATCTTACTGTGAGACACAAGAGGTTGGCGGGCAGTTTGGACACAATATTGCAGTACATCGCAAACACGAATTTCGTGTTAGTTAAAGTTACATAGAGTTGATATTTTGCAAATGATGTAATGAACTATATGGTTTTTAGAGAAAATCACGATATCCTTAATAATACGAAACCCCAACATCCACCTCTGGTACGTAATGCTCGAGCGTATGTATTTTTCGTGGCTGGTAATATTGTCTATCCCCATGATATTAATAGGGATGACTTCTCGCCGTGGTCTGGAAACGGGACACGTACGTTGCTTTTTGGTGTTGATTTCTTTTGTGTTGTATATGACATCTTTAGTTTCTCGTTTGAGGATTCAAAATATTAAAAGACAATATGTAATGCATCTTTTTGTACCAGGAAATGTTTTTCAGTAGTACTGAACAGAGTAATGGAACTACACATATTCAAAATGGCCTAATACTGTATTTATAGCTGAGAACCCGACCTGTTACCGTACGAAAGTCCGGAAGTTTCCGGTTGAAACTGATGACATCACTGGATTGTTTCGAATTGGTCATGGCGACTACAGAGCTAGCCCATATCATCTCGTTCATTTGTACAGTATACATCCGAAGGAAACACGACTAAGGAAAAAGGTAATACGAGAATAAGAATGGAAGAAGGATTTTTAGCGAGTAAATCGTAAAATACGGCTTTTATATGCTACTACGGAAGTATTTTGAAGCAACATCCCATAATTGTGTATAAGTTGATCGATAGTTTTGAAGCTAAATAGTTTTAATAAATAATCGATATATTTATTTACGTGTTCTTATGAACTGGTCTTTTTGAGTTGATAAGAGGCTGGTATTGTTGTCGCTGTTGTCGTTGTTGTCGTCGATGGCTGGCCGTGCTGTTACGACTGGGACTGGTCCCAACTGGACCAAACCTGGCATCAGTTGAACAAGTTTTATAAGTTTTTTTCATGAACGCGCGGTGTCTTGGAAACATGGGTGATAGTTCCGGTCCGTGGATAAAGCAGGCCACAGTAAACAGAGCACTCGCACGGTATCTTCAGAAGACGAACTGTCGCACTCAAAATCAAGTCGGGTCTCGTGATTTAAACGTTCATAACACATATCGTTTTTAGGACTAAAAGGGGGTGTTTTCAAAAACAAACATCAATGGAACCGTCGTATTGGCATATAACTGTTGAAAACAAAGTGAATTGTTTTGACTTCAAAAATTGAAGAGAATCCTAGTATGAAGTGCTGAGATATCTGCAAAACTCCGGACCACAGGTGTATGCAGTGGACGGGTGATTGCTGATGGCAAAGAGATCGATAGAACTAGTTGAGATACATGCGAAGCGAAGGACCCGGATGGTGTAGTGGTGAAGTGCGCTGCTCCCCGGTAAGGACAACAGCGCGTGTTCGTTCTCCACTGCATACACCTGTGGTCCGGAGTTTTGCAGATATCTCAGCACTTCATACGAGTTATATTTCACAACATACCCTGCCATTAAGAAGAAAAAGGCAGTAAATAAAAGAGTTAAGAATCCTAGTACTTTCCCAAAAGAATGCGACTTCATGCGACTACAAATGATTAAAAAAAAGACATCTTAGTGGATGACGGTGATAGATCAACATCTTTTGTGTAAAAGGACATTAGCGCGGTTTAATCCACTGGATTCGAGTCGATGTGAGAGCGACGGGTTATTGCCCATCGAGATCAATACGGTTGTGAAGAAGGCAAAAGCGCCGAAACGTTAACCGAATAAAGGTCTCATACCAAACGTGCTAGCTAAATAAGCAGTGAAGGTATTGATTATCCAAGAGAAAATTTGTTTCACTCTGCTGTGAACCGTGATAAATGCATAGTCCACCGGGTAGAAATCGACGGTTTTGTTGCTACTGCCGCTGTACTC